CACGTTCCGAAGCGTGAGTGAGCCGGGTGCTGATACCCGCGGTGAAGAAGGCGACCAGCCTCCGCGGGTACACGGAGGCGCTAGCCGTGATGATTAAGAAGAAAACTGGAGTCGACGCCGGGATCGGACCGGTGACCAGCTACACGAAAACTCGGCACTGTACCGATGCGCCACTCGGTGAGTAAGCCGGGTGAACAAGTGAGTGAGTGAGTGAATGAGTGAGTGAGTGAGTGAGTAAGAGTGAGCGAGTGAGTGCGTGCGTGCGTGGGTGACGCGAGGTTCCACGACGACAAGTAAAACCCAAGCTCGCAGGTCACCTGCGGCGGTTTTATGAAATACCAACTTCGAATTGCACCAAAATAGAGTTTATTTTGGGTGATTCAATATACCCTACATTTATTTTAGGCAAATGGACTACCCGATGCTTTAGGTTGAGACTACAAAAACCCAAAATTAATGACGATTATGGACTACAAGAAACAGTCGATAGCTATGTATCGACCGGATTATATGCATAGTAGTTTTTTTTCTTCACACGTTTTATTCTATACAACTATTTTTTTTCTTTTTACACCTTTAAAAATTGATTTCAATACTGATTACTGAATGAGAACATAGTCTTCAAAATTTTCAGCTTTGTACCAGGTCTATTCGCTAACTTCCTGATTTGCGGCGAATTGGCTCGTCTCTCTGCAATCATCTAATTGGCTCTGTCGTGGTCGAATACATGGGTCACTAAAATTTGAGCCACTCACGTTGCCCCGGTGAAGAGAACAGGTTAATATGCCGCTTCTGTGCGCTGAGTGGCTGAAATCTGATGCGTCACGTCAGCTGGGATCTGTGTACCAAAACAAAAGTCAAGCTTTTTCTGTGCGTCGAAATGCTTATTTTGCGTAAAGTGGACCCCTCGATAGATAGGAAAAGGGGACCATCGACGCCTAAAATAGACGCAAAAAGCGGACCCTTATGCCCTGGCGAGAGATAGCTATTGCCCGGATCATATATATATATATATATATACTGTGAATATAGCTTGAAAAAAATATATGAAATACTTTTAATAAAAAAAATATTTTTTTAAAAATCAATAAATTAAATTTTTTTTATTTTTTTTTATCATAAACAACCCAAAAATAATCTCTTCTACATTCACAAATCTAAATTCACAAATCTAATTTATTACTTTCTCTATTTAAAACCATTTTAACAAAAAAATAAATAATCAATACATCTACATTACACATTTTCTTTTTTTTCTTTTCTCTCGTTTAAATTTATTCTAATTAAAAATTTACACTTAATCTTTAATTTATCCCCCCCCTTTTCAAACGATTTTTATCCTTTAATTTATAACACTAATCTACACAAATACGCACTTTTACGTTATATACGTATCCACACAACAATACCAAATATTTTTAAGAACATTTCTTTGCTAACCGTTCTCACATCATATCCCTAGCTTTTATGAGAACACACCGCCTCTCTCTCTGTGGGAAGGTATCTTCCGAGAGTATCCAACCTTTCTGTGGAGAAAACAAACACAACCGCGCAATTACCCCGTCGGGAACGAACTCTCTTACTTTGCCATGTCGTACGATCATTGCACAGTCAAAACGCAACAATAATTCCAACAGCTCCATTGCCGACAGCGCATGC